ATCCGATTGAAAACGTTTGATTTTTGTTTCATCTGACAATATTATATGCTTGGTTGAAATTGCTTCGTTAGAACAGATTTTATGAACAAATAAGTACACTTTAAGACACTTTTGTCAAGCATTTAGCCATTAATGATCGCAGCTGTATATGTGTAACTGAATATGTGTGACTTTTTAATAAAATGTCTCGTGCGACAGTGAGTAAAACCAATTGAAAGAGAATAATGCTTAATATTCGTATACTAAGCTTGAAAACTATAAAATATCATTTTAAATTTCGCAGAAATCGGTTTTTGAATTGTTGATCGGCTAAACTGTTCTGTACCGTGCGAATGTCTTGGCCATTTCTATGTATGTGGATATCATCCTTTTAGCTGTTCTAAGGCGAGGTGAAGATACAATTTGATATTATATATGTACATAAACTTAAATATATATATTTTTAATTTTAAATAGTTGGTTTACTTTTTTTTTTGTAAAATCCAATTCTCTCTGTTTTTATTCCCAAATCCTGCCCAAAAAAAAGTTCTCGATATTAATGAACTTCAAAAAATATATAAAAATATAAAAAAAAAATAAATAAAAAAATTAAAAAAATTAATTAAATTATATATCGATTAAAAGTTAAAAAATTAATACAAAAATTAATTCTAAAGCTCTTAGATTTTGAAACGAATTTGAATCACTAAAGATGAGAGTGTATGTCTATATGCATAAGCTGGCAAAGAACGAAAATACTTATTATTTGAAAATAAATTAAAATTCTTATTTTGAAGAGAAAAGGAATACAAATTCTCTACGCAATAAACCAAAAATAAAGACAAGACAAGAGAATTCACTTTTTTAATCTCGTCACTTTTTTTTAGTATCAACTCGAGCAGAAGAAGAACCGCAAAGTGAGTCATCCAAGCAAATGCGATGCGATCGATGTATACAGTAGGTAGACATACATATGTATCTACATGTACATACATACATATATTTTTAAGCGTACATATGTACGTATTTATTGTATACGTATGTACAGATTATACGTGAGCATGCAAAATTTGTTTAACAAATTAATGCGTTGAGTGAGGTAAGATGAATGTTGGATGAAAAAGGAAAAAAAAGAAAGGAGCCAAAAAAAAAAAACAAATAAATAAAAAAAATACATTGAAACATTTAGCATGCAAAGTGAGCGTAAAAATTGCAAACAATCAGCGCAAAAATATAAGACACACGCCAAGCAAAAATTAAAAAAAAAAACATAAAAAACAACAACAAAGTTAAAGCAACAGAACAGCTGAAATTGAAGAGCAATAAAATGAAAAAAAAGTAAAAAATAAAAAATGGGCAAAGAATGCAAAAAAAGGCATTTTTACGCCAAAAGCTACTGTCAATGTCAAAGAAAGGCCAGAAGCGACCGTAAAAATTAAAACACGAAATATGGCATACACAAACAAAAATTAAAATAAAACTTAAATAAAATAAAAAACAAAATTAAAAACAGAACAATACGACTGGAAGCAAAGCAAAAGCTAAAAACCAAAATAAGCCGCAGTGACCTAACGGCAGTATGGAAACGAAATAAAAAGGGAAAGAGATAAATAAAAAGAAAAAATAAATTAGGCGTTTAAAATAAATGCACAGTCAAGAGAACGAAAATAAAATTCGAAAAATAAACATTTTAAAATAAAATATAAAACATTAAGAAGCAAAAATCTAGCATACAAATCATGAGTAATGCGCGGCGTGTTTGAGCGTAGGCGTTCACCATAAAGTACTCGTAGCATTAAAAAAGCAAATTGAAGTGAAAAAAACATTTAGTTGGCGAAAAAACTGCATGCTGAAGCAAAAATAATATACTTGGAAATTTAAATGACAACAAAAGAATAACGTTGTATTTTTGAGGTAGCAGCAAGATTGTGAGGTGAGCGCAAGAAAAAAAAATTTAAAAAAATGAAAAATAAATAAATAAAAATTACAGGCGCTGATACAGCAAAAATTAAAGTAAATAAACTGAATGAAAAAAAAATAAAAATTATGAAAAATTTAATGTTATGAAAATACCATGGCTTGAAGTTATTAATATGGAGCTGGGCACCAGTCAATTATATTAAAAACACATTTTATTCGTATGATTTATGTCCTTTGTGGTAATTTGGTTTGCTCAGCTCGGCATGACGGTATTTTTGGCAGTTGTAATGCTTTAGTTTAAACTACATTTCTGTTTTGAAGCTAATATGAAAACACGCCCTTTTCCCTGATAATAAGTCTAGTAAAAAGTATTACATTATTTTTGTAATAAATTGAAGAATTTATTTGCCGTAGTTAGAGGATTTTTTGTATACTATGAAAATATGCCGTTTTGCTCCATAAGTTCTTGCTACTGTGAAGGTTTTGTCTCTCTCATGGAAACCCATAGACCGGAAAAGATGCTCCATCACCTGGTGCGAGATCTAGTCTATAAGGTGGTTGATTAAGAACCTTCCAGCCAAGTTCTCGGAGCTTCCGGCGCGTCACTATCGATGTGTATAGTCTGGCATTCTACTGATGAAACACAATTCCCTTACTGTTGTCCAAAGCTGGGCGCTACTGGACGATTGCTTCCTTCAGACAGTACAATTACTGACAGTACAGGCACGAATTAACCGTTTGGCTGTAGGGAAGTAGCTTATGTTGGTTGATTCCTTGCCACTCCCAAACACACAAAAAAACCTCCCTCACCACTAATCCTGACCTGTACACCGTTTGTGGACGCTGCCCTTCGCCCACAACCGTTCAACGCTGCTGTTAGTATTCCACTTTTTATTACCAACCGCCATCTGCCTCGAAGTTCGGTCTATGAGGTTCTTTTGTTATTAACTCAGATGATACTCATACATCGAACTTCTTTGTATATCCAGACTTTTCCAAGCGGTTTTAAACTGTGTTATTTGCAATGTTTTGCATGACGCATGACGGTCAGATCGACATTTTCGACAATTGGCCTTTCAAATCGACGATCGAGGAATCAAAAATTGTGCATGATTGACTGTTATTGTATCAACCATAAACACTATTCACATTTTAGACTGCCTGACTTTCGTTTTCGTTCGTGTCCATCTTTGACATGCGCTTAAACACTACTGAGTTGAGTGATCAACACTTTTCCCGTTATCGTTTTTAGTACAAAATATCATATTCTAAAGCCAACTAGCGTAATCCAATCACACTTATAGAATTCGAGTCTCAGTTCATCGATTACAAACATAATGGAGCTTTTTATCTAGATCCGGGTAAAGGTTTCCTGATCTCCGATGCCTTGAAATGTGTAGCATTCTACGACCGACTGATCCAAAGTGATTCTTAAAAGATCGAGGAAGTTTATTATGTCTGATAAAAGTTTGTATGTATTCCTTATGCGTGTTTTGAACTGAAGAATTAGTTAGCATTCAATCTCATGGGGTGACTGTATTTTATAAATCGCTCCTCGTTAGACCTGCTCATCCCTTGTACTGCTAGGTGGAGGTTCTTTTAATTTCATTTTATATTTAATATGTATTCAATATTAGTTATACTCACCAACAATATATTGCGTAAATTATAATACCTACGTGTATGTATGTCTGTATATAGAGTTGTAAATGTGCGCTTAAAAAGGGTTACATTTTCGGCATCTCAAATCCAAAAATTTCGCCTGTCTGCTTGATTGTCTTTATTTGTATGCATTTTTATGTTTATTTACTCTTTTATTTTGGTTTATTTTAATTTTATTTTCTTATTATTGATTGCTGTTTTGCCGGTTTCTGTTGGTTGGTTGGTTAGTCATGACCTTATTCCGTGGGCTCCCTTTGTAGCTGACATACATTATGCTGAATTTTTATTGTTTTTTGTTCTTTTTTTCGGTCATATATATGCATGTGTTGTACATAATTGGTCATGCATTATTCAGTATGTCGTTTGAGATGCTACTCACAAAACCACAAACAGTGTAAATTTAAATGATAAAAAATGCAAAAAAAAGAAAAATAATAATAAATAAAAGAAAAGCAGAAAAAGAATGAATGAACTTAGTAATTTGGTGGTTAAGAGCTCCACTTAAGATGATCTTAAAATACATCTGAGTGTGTGTGTGCGTGTGTGTTCCAAAAGGTGTCATTGTGGTTAAAAAATTTAGGTATTTTTTCCGCTTCTCCGGATGCTACAACAATTTGCTGCACTTCGCGGTGACATATACATAATAATGAAGTAATGTCTGAAATACAATAGTTGCACCTTTTGGGCAACGCCGTCGACTGCAGAATCGTGTATGTCGCATTGTGTGCCTTAAATGACTGCAGCTAAATTGCATTATGTCACTTTGGGCTTTGGCCATTTTTTTTTTCATACCAATAATACTGCTTAATTGACTTTGCTAATTTTATTTATTTTTTTTTCCAAATTGGTGCTCATAATTAATGTTAACTTTTTAAAATTTATTTATATTTTTCTGTCTACGAGTAACGAATTCTGGTTTTTCAACTTGTTCGACGGCATTCACTTGGCTTGGAAAAATATTCACTCATTCATTCATTCGTTTATTAATTGCTCACTATATATATGTATATATATATTTTTTTTTCGTTTTTTATTCCTTTAGTATTGATCACCTGCCGAACAGCGTTGTAAAGCTTTATAAATTACAACTAATCATTTATTTTATTATTTTATATACATACATATGTACGTAGTATACGGCAGAGCTGCACACATATGCATAAGTGTGTTTATATTGAAAAAGGTGTATTAAAATGAATTTTTAAAACAATGTGTCAGCTTTGTAATTGAATGATTAACTTAAAGGTGTGAAATAAAGTTTATTTTTATGATTGTTTTTTCCATTTTTCGTAAAAGTTGTTGCAGCAAGTTTTATTTCAGCGGCCAACTTCAGTGGAATGCGCATCATTTTGTATGAAATGTCCTTGGTATTCATATACAATACATACACACATCTCAGAACAACCTTTTCAATCAATTTACTTATCCCGCTTCGGTAATCAAATTATTATTATTTTTAACTTTATTTTGCTGCATTTTCGCCATAAACCAGTAAAGAATGATTATGGTAAAAATTTTTTCTTCCTTAAACGCGTTCGCAATAAGTTTTCCAAAGAGAGAAACTTACTTTTTTTTAGCTCTCCTGAGAGTTATCTTCAACGCCGCAAATTTATTAGACTTTTCTGCGAAATTCTCTCACTGTTTCGCCGTTCCTTATAGCTTGCCTTTTGGACTTTGGCTTATTTGAGCTTTGGCATCTTCAAAGACATTACCGTTGTGTCAAATAGTCTATGCAAGGTTTACGGCTTACGAAGTGATTAAGTTTATGCTTGAAGAGAATTGAAAAATATTCCAAAAAATTGCAAACTGAAAGTTAATGTCAACTGTCGGTTCATGAATTGAATTACGCACTATTGGAGCCATGCATTGCTATTGATATTTTGGGCCATCAGCAGAGCAGAACGGGCAACCATATAAATGAGGAACTCCTCCTCCAATTCGTGGTGGATGTCTTGATGTCTTTCAAACAAATGTAGGGAGCTACAGTTTATTCTAAGCCGCCTCCGAGCGGCTGATGGTTTTTTATGAGGAGTTTTTATATGACATATTAGAAATACGCTCGGAGGACTGGACATTTCGCGCCGACGGGCGACCACAATTAGAAAAATTAACTTAATTTTTTATTAAAAATACTTTTTTTTTTTAAATTTTGGAAGGTTTCCAATAAAAAGTTCATCCACACTTTGAGAACACAGATTATAACTTTCGCAGCGTCAACTCTCAAATAATTTCTAATTCAGATTCGAAAAACCTTTACTGCAGGGAAACATAGGATAACTAGCTTTCCCTTGCAGTTTATTCTACAATAGTAAACTGAATTACTAAACTGTATATTCGTTCTGGCGCAAAAAATTCATTTTGATGAAGTTAGAATAGATCCTTTTAGGGCTTACATATGGATGACTCAACAAATCTCAAATAAACTTTACTCCAGAATGACTCAGCTTCGGCTGGTTGAAACTGTTGGTGTAAGAAACCCTAATAAACAGTAGGACAAACCTTTCTTTACTGATTACGGTTAAGCAAAAGATCTATCTTTGTGGTCATTCAAAATTTCAAGTATGACTAGCTGTGCGACTGAGGAATATTCGTTACTTTTTCTGTCAAATGCCTTTTCGTAACGATTTTGTTGTTTTAATAATGACTGAATTTCGATGAGCTCATTAAAATTTCCACAGAGTCTACTTGTATTACGTGGTGCATGGATGGCATGCGCTCACCGAACTCGATATCTGAACAATAATTATCGTGCATATTAAGACACTGTTGTTTTCTTACTTACCTTCGCGGGCGCTTACCTTGCGCTGCTACTAGATTTACACCAGTTCAGTACGGGTAAATCTTTGCAGCGTCTTAAGCAAATTACCATATGCGCAGCTCATAAATATTCAGCGCAAAATCTCGCCAACTCCAGGCACTTTTTACACACATTCATATACGAGTGCGTAAGCGTTTGTATGCCTTCAATGTGTGTGTAGGTTTATACAAGATATCATTTTTGCGCCTCATTTAATAATCGCGCTCGTCAAAAAAAGGATTACGGTCGCCTTCAGGCAAATCAAGACAGAGGAGAAAAAATAAGCCAAGTTTTTGTGCGCATTGCGTGCTGTTAATGCGATTAAATTTTTGTGAAATGCCAGAGTCTACGCAGGCGCACAAGGTCGTTTGCTTCATTAACTCACTGCCAAACTGTCTGTCCAAATATCTGTTGGTATTTGTTATTCGCTCTGCATTTTTTCATTCATTTTGATACGCCTGCATATTTTATTTGAATTGCAGTCGAAGGATGAGACATATTAAACAAATGTAGCTCACATATTTCCCGGCAACTCGGTAATCATTTCAATCCAAAAACGTGAAAACAAATTTCATTTATGCGCGTCTTGAATAAATATAATAATTTGTTGTCAAAGTCTCTATTTAGTTCAGAGAATTATAAAAAATTCAAACCAAGTTATGAGCAGCCGAAGAAAGTCTGTCATTCTTAAGCATTACAACTATAAAAACCTACTATTAAGGTAGCCAGTTATTTTTTAGTTTATTTTTATCATCGAATAAGCTTAAGTATTATTTAAGTCAGTCAGTTGGGAACCTCGTAATCTTAGGTTAAATAGGTTCTGATTTCTCTTTGTATTTACTTCGTTGAGTCTTCAATTTGTTTAGATACATATATTTAGCAGATTTCTAGCTTTCTAAACTTTTAATCTTTCTTGAAATCGGACCTGGTTTTAAAACACGGTTTCACTTTAACAGCATCTGCCGAAAGCAAAGTAACAAAACTCTATAGCTTTCTAAGATTTTTATTATTTAAATTAAGCATTCACTCGGTGTCAGATTTTGATAAGAGTTCTTATGCTTGGTTGGTAGTTTTAGGACCTGACTGCAAGCGGAGACACCTAAGCCATTGTGTGAGACGATTTTGCTAAGGTAGTGCTCCAGCGTTCCGCCATCTTCTATTCCTGCTCTGCACTCAGCCAATTCCACTTTACCTAGTTTGCAGATGTGATATTCAGAGGTAGATGCTCCATTAATATATCCACTAACATAGTTCTCCTTGGCTACTTACTACTAACAATTTTGTTTGTCTTTAATCCACGCTACTCTACAATAATTTTGTGGTGCGCTTATGGAGGAAATGCTCCAGAACCTTCATGATGCATTGTTTTAGACTGAATTTGAAGGGTCTGATACAATTGAGGTTGCCTATTTCGCCAGCGCAAGTCAGCTCGTCCGCCTTTTTACTTCCTTCTGTGTTATAATCTGCTAATTGCCTCTGGCACCTTCAGTAATGCCCACAATCTTTGCTCGGAAGAGAGGGTTGTAGTTTGAAACATACGTAAAGAAATAGATGCTTTAACTTGCAAAAAAAGCCTGTAAGAGAAGCGGAAGGCGGCTTGCAACTGACAGAGGGCTTACCTGTTCTGTTATTACTTTCAGTGAGCTGCCATATCTCCCACTGTTAAGGGTATGCGCCTAGTTAGGAAGGACTGTAGAACTGAAGGACTGTTAGAGCTGCTTTATACACATTTGTAAATTGCTTGGGTTGATCCCGAGCTCGTGGCTTCCAGGGCATTTTTCATAGCTTCTGATATAACCAGAAAATATTTGAGATGCTCTTTACCAAAGTTTTAGTAGGATACTTCTTCTTTATTGACACCCATCATACTAGTGCCCTATATGTTAGTGTGGGCCTTACAGGACTTTTGTAAAGAACGCCCATTTCGAATCAATAGCTCTTCTGCAGGTAATCCTTGAACTACTTTCAACTTTCAGCTACGTAAAACGAGTCCAGCTCACTAATTTTTACCTGTGCAAGAATTGAGTAACTTAGAACACGATTTTCTGCTCGTTGCACTCACTCAAATGTACATCTGGTGGTCGCAATAGCCATACTGCTAATCGGAAAGTCAAAATCCAAAATTATAGAAAAGTAATTTTTCAATTGGGATCGCCCTCGGCAGAGAATTTCAAGCACTCGGAGTGTATTTCTGATTTGAAATGAAATAAGAAAAATGATCCTCATAAAAATCGTTCGTCTGTTCGGAGGCGGCTCAGAATTATTTGTAGTTTGTGTAGGAAAAACAAGAGGAAGCGCCAATTATTTTTATATGTATACATGTATGCAGTTCCAGAATAATACTTACTCTAACGGGTCATACTGAATTGCCACATACGACAAGCAGCGACATTTCCGCTATCTGATTTCTGTTTTGAATTGACTTCGCGAGTGCTCAATATGTATGTATGTTTCTTTTAGAATTTGTTTTTGTTTTATCCTTTAAACTTTTTGTTTGCTTGCAACTCGTTCCAACGCATTCACGTTGTCATTTTGCTGTTGATGTTGCTGCTGACGATCATCAATTTGACAGCAACTCATGTTGTTTGCAACGCATAAACTCATAAATATACATACCGTATGGTTATATCTGAATGCACAAATGAAATTTATAGCATTTTACACCTAAGTTACTGACATACGTATACATACATGTATATACTGGCACATCGTGCAAAGAGTACGTTCATCGGCATCAGCAACTACTCAATGAGAGGCAAATCACCAGCGATCGCATCAGATGTCGATGACGGGACGAAAAAAACGACGAAATGTTGTAGTTTTTTTATACAATTTTTTTCTCTTTTTTGTTGGTTGTTGGCTCTGTGCTGCATATGTGTAAGTGTAAACTTCCGGTCGACAGTGCTAATGACAGCGAATTTGATTTTTTGCTTTAGTGACCCAACACATGGGCATTTTGTGAACATTTTTTCATATTTTTTTTAATTTTTTTTTTTTATGTTTTATTTATTTATTTTTTTTGCTGTTGACTTGTTTGACTCGGTGATAGCAGGCATATATGTACATAAGTACACCCATTCGTACATAATTAACATAAATTTCTGTTGATGCTCAACAACTTTGACAATTTTATGCTGTTGAGTTTTTGGTCCGACTTCGGCTGGAAGCTAAAAGGGCCAGCCATGCAAATAACAACAAATCAGTTAAAGGCGCATAACGTATTCTAGGAAAACCATTTTGCGCTTTCTTGTATTCTTGTTCATATTTACTGAATATGTTTTTGTTGGTATGTGTTCAGATTTGCGTTACTTTTAGTGTGGTCCCTTTGAATTAAATACTTACAGAGTTTCCTTTGAGTCTTCGTCGCTCGGCAACTTGTAAATTTACTCAATTAACCGCGGCAACAACAATAATCGCATCTGTAGCAGATAATCAGAAATTTAATGGCAATATTTGTTGACTGTAAAATCGAAGAGCAGCAATCGGTGTCAACAACAACAGCAATGTCGCAGCAATAGACCTGCCATTGAACTGCAGCCGGTGAGCTTCTTTCGGGTTCCCGAAATGGTGTTTAGCACTTTCGGCATCGCTTTAAAATTTATGATATAAAACAAAGAACATTTATTAAAGTGCTATTTTATGGTCTTCTAAATTTTTATGCACATGCCTAGATGTGTAATTACACTGAGTATAAAATTAATTAACTGATTTTTTTTTACAAACATTCCGCTAACTGTAATTTTTATGACAATATGTTTCGTGAACTTTTTTGCTTTCTTTGCATTTTCAAATGCACAATATTTTTATTAAGTTAACTCCACGTTCTTCTTTAATTCGGCAAACTTGAGTTAGGTAACTTTATTGCGAATTTATGTGCAGTGTCTTCAATATGTGCCACTACTTACCTTTTTAAGCTATAAATAAAACCGTTTTTATGTATAAATGTCCGACCATAAAGTCAAAATAAGCCTGACATTTAATGTGACAGCGTTGCCATAAGATCATAATTTTATTTCTTATGAAGCCGTGATTTGGAGGTTATGTGCTTTTTCATTGTACATGTTTTCATATATCCTAATTAATTTCTTGGCATATTAAATGTTATTTTTGAATTTATCACATTCAATAAGCTCAAATTAAAAACTTAAGCAAAATCAATAAAATATTCAATTTACTAAATGATTATTAATAAGCAAAATAAAGTAAAATAAAACGGTATAGAATAAAATGAAATAAAATTTTAATCAAATAAAAAGATGACAAATAAAATAAATTAAAATAAACAAAAAAATACTTAATAAAATAAAATGGGATAAATAAAAAGCTAATGGAGTTAAATTTAATCAAATAAAATGATAAAAAAAAATTAAAAAATAAAAAAAATTAAATAATAAATTAAAATAAACAAAAAAATACTTAATAAAATAAAATAGGATAAATAAAAAGCAAATGGAGTTAAATTTAATCAAATAAAATGATAAAAAAATAAAAAAATAAAAAAAATTAAATGATAAATTAAAAGAAAGTAAACTAAATCAAAATAAAATAAAATAAAATAAAATAAAATAAAATAAAATAAAATAAAATAAAATAAAATAAAATAAAATAAAATAAAATAAAATAAAATAAAGTAAAATTAAATTAAATAAAATAAAATAAAGTAAAATTATATAAAATAAAATAAAATAAAATAAAATAAAATAAAATAAAATAAAATAAAATAAAATAAAATAAAATAAAATAAAATAAAATAGGTCAAAATAATATATAGATAATAAGAAAATAAATTAAGATAATTAATATTAAAATTTATCATATGGGATGAAATAAAAGCAATTAACCCAAAAAAAAAATTAAAGTAAAATAAATTACGGTGTGTGTACATAAATTATTAAGATAGTCTATATTGAGCTTTTCGGACGTTAATCAAAAGTAAAAACCTTTATTTTCCTTTTTCGCCTTCTACGCGTTTCAGGGTGTCTTAACACAAATATATTTACATGAATAATTAATAATAAAAGTGGTCATTACATGATTGTATTTATTGCACTGCAAGTGATCAGTCAAGATAAAATTAATTTAACTAAATTAAATTAAATAAACAAAAAATTAAAATTAAAATTAATTAAACACATATTAAGCTAAAAATAGAATCTAACGAAAGAAAATTGAAGAAAGCTAAAAAGAAATTAATGATAAAATTAAATTAAGTTGAACTACATTAAAACCAGTCAAAATATAAAAAAATAACAAAAAATAAATAATATATTATGAGCTAATATAATTTTACATAAAATAAAACAGTAGAAAATTAAATGAAATAAAACAAAATAAATAAAAAAAATTGATTTTAAGAAAATAAAATAGCATAAGTATAAATTAAAGGAAACTGAATGAGATGACATAAAATGTATGCAAAAAATAAAATAAAATTAAATTAGTATAATGTAAAATAAAATAAAAAAATTAAAATTGTAGAAAATAAAGTAAATTCTTTGAAATTAATGCGACGCTGTCTGGTATGATAAAGTGCAATGAGTACTCGTAAATTCGACTAAACCGTTATTTCGCTTACTTACAAGCACATGCACGCAATTCCATTTTCCAGTGGTAATAAATTTCTCGCACATCTCAACGTCAGATGAACTATTTTAGAAGCATTTGAAAGCTTCGGCTGCCATTACTACGCCGACATGTGTTGCTCATGTTCCTTTTCGTTTCCACAGCCATATTGGTGCATGCTGGTGATGCCCTCAAGTAGGACGTGGTTGAAACGAGATCATGGCACTCAAATAAAGGAAAGCCAAAAGAACTTTAAACACAAAAACAACAAGCGCGTGATACCAACAGCAACGACTAACGAGCCCACTAACGCCTACAAAGTCAAAAAAGAATAATAAATTTACAGAAAAAAAAATGAAAAAAGGTCCGATTCGACAAATAAGGAAGTGCTTAGCTCGTTCGGAACAGCAGTTGGAGTATTCGCAAGATATTAGAGGAATTTTATTATTAATTTCAGATATAAGTGGAAATAGGAAAGCTTTCGTTTTTTACTCTTTTGCCTCTCTGCTAATATTTATAATTCGCGCTGATTTCCCGCTGCAATGAATCCTCCACTTTTTTCGATCCATCCACGCGATTTGGGATGCTTCACGTTGTACAAAATCAATGCACACTGTGCACGCAGCAACGTCGGGTGTAGGAAAATCGCAAGAAAGTTTGCACGGAAAACACATTGGATCGTATATTTTATTTGATTTTCGCCAAATGTGCCGACAACAATGTAATGTACGCATACAATGTGCTTGGCAAGAGCGGAGTTATGGCGAATCTCGCTCTAATAGCGTCTGGGGGGAGTGGTGGTGGGTGGTTGGTTGCTTCGTTGGCTGCGGCGTGAAAGTTGCGGCACATATGGAGAAAAATTCAAGCGCAATGCCACAAACTATGGCAAAATTATGGCGCAAGGCTATACAACAACAAACAATCAACAACAACAACCAACAACGAGAACAACAACAATAAGCTACAGCTGGCAATAAGAGGATGGAAGAAGAAGAAGAAAAAATGGCGATTGGCGTGTGTTGCCATTGTAACAGCATACAATGTTGTGTTTCTGCGGCAGTTGTTATTGTTGTCGCTGATTTTCATTTTCACGGCGCTCGCGACTATCAAATCACATCGATAGTTAGACTATTTGCAGAATTTATGATAAATGTGTCAAATATCTCAACTATTTGTAATCATAAATGGAAATTTGTGCTGCAACATGCTCATGCTGAATTTGTTGCAACTACAATGGCCAACAACAATGTGCACCTTCGTACATACATATGTATGCATGTAAACATATGTTGCTGCCGTGACTCTTGTCTTTCGCCACCACAAATCGCAACTGCAACTGCAACTGACTGAGCAGCTGCGATATATCTATGAATGTGTGTGTGTATGTATATGGAGGCGTCCGTTCATCCGGCCAGTCGATCGCCCGCCAACAATTGACAGCGCCGACAAAGAGATTGGCAAGTTTCTGGAGCAGAAATGGTGAAAAGGTCGAGTGATCGAGTGAAATTCTTTGCAACGCAGCAACAACAGAGATTCCCGATTTCCAATCCTCACTATGTACATATGCACATGCAGAGGTATGTATGTATGTATGTATATATGTACTGCGTAACCTATTAGAAAATGATATTAGTTCCCGGCGGCCGGCATTATTGATAGTGACAGAAATGTGTCGCGCACATTTGGGTTGGGCGGAGGTTGTGGCGTGATGCAAATGTGAGATGTTGCATATAGGCACGCACATATCAGTAGAGCAACAACAAGAATCACGACATACAATGAATATTCGCTTGTGACAATATATCGGAATAGTAGCAACAACAATAACATCTTTCCATATATACATACGTCTATATACAAATGTATGTATTCTGTATGTATTCCGTATGTATGTGTACATATGTGCAAACGCGTTCATATGTGTGCTTCTTTATTCGAAATTCTGTCCACTTCATTGCCACAATTTTGCTATAAATTATATTTTCTCTTAATCAACTGTCAGAAACTGTTTTAGATTACACTTTTTTCGGGCTATTAATTTATTTTGTTGTTGTTTTTGGCGCTGTGCTCTGAATTTCTAACGTTATTTTTTTTAGAAAGTGTTGCATGCATTCGCATATTTGTCGTGTGTAGGTGTCAGTTTGTGATGGATAATAAAGTTGTGCAGCTGTTGGATGGCGTATAAAAATCAGAGGATGAAAAAAAAATGCTTACCCATACATATATACGTACATATATTGTGTATACTAATGCTTTATTCATACCTTTATTGTTTTTTAAATTGTTTTTTTTTTTTTGTTTTTACTTTTCGATTTTAGTAAATGCTCCTCATAAATTCTATGTTTTTTATTCTACATTTTTTTATTTGAAATGCTGGAATTTTAAGATCCATTAAACCAATAATGGCACAGATCATCAAGTTTAGAATGAAGAGCATTGCCAGAGGCATTAAAGTCGGTTTCGATGACCAACACCTTGGAGTTAAAGCTCTTTTCAAACCACAAAAAAAATAGATTCATTTCATATATCTTTTTTTTTTAAACTCCAAATAGCAAATCGGAACACAAAAAAACCAAATACGGCTTAACACTGTTCACACAGGCACTCAATCGGCTAATTGAGACTTACTCAAACATTTCGCTAGCGACTAACCACCATTAAACAGTAAATGGGCGAAAAACTGTCAAGTATATTTGACAGGATGAGCAGCATGCCAAGTTAAGTTCAGAAAATAAAAGCGATTGGAATGTCCAAAAATCTATTATTTGTGTTTAAAATATTGATAATAAAAGCGGCGCTCAAGATAATGAGTGTGTGGAATACTCTTTGCACACCTTTTTTGTGGACTTCTGATACTAAAAATTACTAAACTCTCTAAAATGATTTCCGCTGAAGTGATTTTTGGCCTAGCGTGCGACTTGATGGTTTTCCAAGAAATGGAGAAACTTATAATTTACTCTGAGTCGCCACCAAAGGCTTAATATTCCTTGTTGAGTGGTGCCGCATTTAGAAAAATTAATTTTCTTTAATTTCGGATATTGGTTGGACCAGGACTGGAACGCTGGCCTTCTGAATGAGGTAAAAGATAATCCAATAAAAGAGATCGCTACACATTTTCGTACACAAAAGGATAGAATTTGACGAAATTCGCACTGAAATTTTATTTGAATTTTTTTAAGAAGTTTCTGCAATATCTTAAAATTGTGTTTTTTTCCAACGCTACCGGTGTAAAAATTTCTGCATTAGTAAATTATACTTTTCACTGCAAAAGGCGACTATGAACCCAAATTTGATAGTACCGAAAAAGTTCAATATTCATTATTATATTATTTAAAGTGTAAAATCTCTCCATGTCCTTCAGAATAATTTCTTCATATAAAAAATAAAAACATTTTCAGCTGTTAAATACTAATTGCCGAATATGTGTGAACACCGAGCAAAGTGCCACAAATTAGAGTTTAGCTTTCTGAACAAATGAAGCTGTGCGAACTCTTTGTTATTAGTTGTAAATTATCTCAGATTGCACATTCATTGCTGCAAATTAAAGTAAATGAGAAAAAAAATGGCGAAACTTAG